TGCGCTCGCTGCTTGGAGCGGCTGCAAGGCAGGCAGGGCAGCGGCAGGAGCCGTCCGAGCGCCGAGAGCCGGCGCTGGCGACAATGGCGGGCGGGCGGAGGCAGAGGCGCGGGCCGGCCGGCGGGCGAGCGCTGCTGCTGCCCGCTGTGCTGCTGTGCCTGTGCTGCCGGGCGGCGCCGGAGCGGCTCCCCTACGCCATCCCCGAGGAGCTGCCCACAGGCTCGCTCGTGGGGCCGCTGGCACGGGACCTGGGGCTCAGCCCGGACGAGCTGTCGGCGCGCAAGCTGCGGCTCAGCGAGGACAAGCAATACTTCACCGTGAACGAGGAGAACGGGAACCTGTACGTGAACGAGAGGCTGGACCGGGAGGAGCTGTGCGGCGAGTCGGCGTCCTGTTCCGTCAGCTTCGAGGCGCTGGTGCACAACCCGCTCAATGTTTTCCACATCGAGGTGACCATCAAAGACGTGAACGACAACTCCCCGTCTTTCAGCAAGGCTGCTCTGGAACTCGAGATCGGTGAATGGACACTTCCAGGTGCCCGTTTTCCTCTGGAGATGGCACAAGATGCAGACGCGGGAAGCAACTCACTGCTGACTTATGAGCTCACCAGCAACCCATCCTTCTCTCTTGCCCTGAAGGAGAGACCAGGTGGAAAAAAGCAGCCGGAATTAGTGCTGGAGAGAGCGCTGGATCGGGAGAAGCAGAGTTCCTTTGAGCTGGTGCTGACGGCAGTGGATGGAGGGGACCCTGCGAGGTCCGGAACTGTCCAGATTCGTGTCAACGTGACGGACGCCAACGACAACCCACCCGTGTTCAGCAAAAGTGTATACGAGGCGCGAGTGGCGGAGAATCTGCCGGCGGGGTCGCTGGTGCTGAAGGTGCGGGCCACAGATGCGGACGCGGGATCCAATGGGCGGGTCTTCTACTCCTTCGGTTCCGTCCCGGCCGGGATCCGTGAGTTGTTCACAGTCGAGAGCGAGACCGGCGAGATCAGAACTGTGGGACCACTCGATTTCGAGAAGAAGAGTAAATACAGCTTTGAACTGGAGGCGACGGACGGAGGTGGGCTCACCGATCACTGTGAAGTGAAGATAGACATCACGGACGACAACGACAACGCACCCGAGATCACGATTCTGTCGCTGTCGAGCCCGGTGCCCGAGGACGCGCCAGCCGGCACCGTGGTGGCCCTGCTGAAAATTCGGGACAGAGACTCCGGCGAGAACGGTGAGGTGTCGTGCGAGCTGTCGGGAGAGGCTCCGCTGTCGATCGTGGCGTCGTCGGGCGGCTCGTACAAGGTGGTGACGGCGAGCGCGCTGGACCGCGAGCAGGCGTCCGAGCACCGCGTGACGGTGGTGGCCCGGGACCGGGGCAGGCCGGCGCTGTGGAGCGAGGCGGAGCTGGTGCTGGAGGTGTCGGACGTGAACGACAACGCGCCG